AAGCACGACTGATAAATAAAAAAAACAAATAAAATATAAACTTGTCATAGAAATATGCATGTTATTGTGCCATTTCCTTAACTTTATTCCTGGGTGTGTAGCTGCCTTTATGGCCATGGGATCAGGCCACATGTGTAAACTATTTATAATGGTTGGGCAATCAAAAGTAACAATGAACCTTTATGGATGTACCACATCATCAAGTTAGGCTAAGTTTACGCCATTATAAATTAATCAGTCATAATGTTTTAAATTATAACTGTAACCTATCAACAAATGTTTGATTTGGACTATCATGTTACATTGTGAAACAATCAGTTTAACCTTATTGCCTAAAATGTAAAAAATAAAAATAAAATATTTATTTATTTCATTCGGTGTCCTACCTTTGACTTTTTATGAGTTACAAAATAACAAAACATAACAAATTAGACACTAGTAAGATCTAAGAATTGGAAACATACTGGTCCAATATTACAGGTCACAGTTCTGGGAGTTTGGACCCAAGAATGCAGACTAACTTGAGGAGCTTGAGTTAAATAAGTGTTCTTCGTGTCGATGGGCATGGCAGGAGGAACAAGTACTAACAATGGAAAAATACTGAGAATGGCAGAAACACAAGGCGGCAAGAAACACACTAAACACAAAGGAAATACAGAAACTAAACATTATGAGAAATTAGATTTTTTTTCTTCTTGTGGCTGCGCTCTCTTCCAGGGTTTCCACAGCGAGCAAACTCATGATAATTTGACAACTGCTTTTACACCAGATGAACTCCTTTAGGGCTTGGCAATATGGCTTAAAATGTATCACAATATAAATGTTTCATAACAGTTGAAATCGATAATCATTGATTATTATTCTGTTTTTTGTTTGTTTGTTTGTTTATTTATTTGTTTTACCTATTTGAAATAAGGACCAAGAGATAACTTGTGATCCGACTTTTCCTCATTTATCCACAATTTCCTCACAAGCTGTTGCACTCATTTTCTCCTCGTTTCCATTTCGTTCTTTTTGATTTTGAAGCAGTTTTGAAGTGAAACATGAAACTACTGCTGCACACTCCACTGCTTACATTCTGATGTTTTTATTATTATTATTATTATTATTATTATTATTATTATTATTATTATTATTATTATTATTATTATTATTATTATTATTATTATTATTATTATTATTATTATTATTATTATTATTATTATTATTATTATTATTATTATTATTATTTAACTTGTTTTTTACTTCTGTTTTTGCAACAAAGGGAATTTCATTGCTGGGGGACAGGCAAAGTTTTAATCTATTATTTTATTCTTTCTCTTAGAAATGAAAATATAAATGAATGGATGGATACATTTCAAATGTTTTAGCCTAGCCTAACAATACTTATTGTTTTACCAAAATAATGAACTGACTCAGAGCCGTCATAATTATTTTCTCATTCTCAAATTTTATTATTTTAATTACAGAGCAAGATGAAAATTTGTCTGATCAGATTTTTTTGACTAATCGTTTTCAATTTTCTGCAAATCTTCATTCAAAGACCTGCCCCGTGCTGCCGAAAACGAGACGCACCGGCTTCTGATTGGCTGGTTGCCCTCTAAAACACGGAAGTGACATCAGAACAACCACAAACGGGAGGAAGTTCAGTGTGGCGCCTGTCCCGCGTGCGGTCATCAAAAAGAGGGTCTGCGTCGACCTCCACGCGGTTTGTCTCTTTAAAAAACTACACAATGGCGACCTCTTCGCGGTCTCTTTCATTCCTCCTGAGACAGTCGGACTGTCTGCGGCGGCCGGCCGGTCTCTGCTCTCCGAGGCGCACATTCATGTCCCGCTTGTGGAGACGGGATTTCAAGGCAGCGTCCTTCTCCCGGGGAGCCGGTCGGCTGCTGTCGAACCGGTCCGGAAGCAAAAACTGCGCAGCATCTGTATTTAGCAGCTCCTCGGACGGGCAGGACATCACACAGAGCCTGTGGTCGGTTTACAGTGAGACCAAGAGGCAAACCGAGGGTAGGCTGCTCAAATATTTCAACACACAACACACCCCTATATGTTAAACACGAGTGTCGTTGACCTTGATATGTCAAAACAGACAAGCCTAAATAAAAAAAAAATGATAGCTACAATCAAGGTGTCAATAAGTGGATAAAACGTCTATTTAATTTAACCTGTTGACATTTAGCAACACTATTAAAACTACACTTTTTTTTTAGCTTTCCTTAATCATTAATAAATGGTTAGTTAACCATGGTTAGTTAACTATGAAAACATTGCTAAATATGGTTCATACTACATAGCTATAATGTAACACATTTATTAATGCTTTACAAATAAAGCCTAATTACTTCCAAAAACCAGCATGTTTATTCATGCTTATTAACTTCAAAATTAACTTTTATATATTGTGTATATATGTATGTAAATGTTCATATAAATGTACTTTCACACTATTTGTTAGACATGTAATAATGTTTAGAGAACATATGAATTGACTAAGAATTCTGATTTCCATAGGTGAAAAAGAACTACAACAAAACATAAACAGCCTTCACTTTAGAAGGGTTCACTAAAAGACTTAACAACTATCTACTAACAACTGCCTTGATACACTGCAGAATTAATAGGTAATCGATTAAGCTGTTCTCTAACTATTAATGCATGCTTAACACATGGTGTAAAATTACATTTACATACATATACACACAGTATATAGAATAGTTTATTCAGGAGTTATTAAGCATGAATAAACAATGAGTATGTTAGATTTTGAAGTAATTAGCCTTTATGGTGTATTAGTGCTGATGTGTTTTCTGTATGGACTTTTATAAGAGAAACATTATAAGTCAGATTCAATGTAACAACAGGGAAATTCAAAGTTATTATGATTAGGTATCATGTTGTCCTCATCCGATTGTTTTATTTGCTGTTTAAAAAGTGACAAAGCTTAATTCATAAATTGCATGTCTCCAGTGTACAAAAATGTATTGTTTTGTGGTTAAATGGGTCTGTAAATGGCCTGAACTTACAAAGACTACAAATTTGCCCATTCATACACAGGGGTAGATATAAAATCTGGTTGTCCACAAAATATTTTGGCTGTCCAAAAGAATCTCAAGAAAAATGTAATTTAACAAGTATATTATTCTGTAGACAAAGTTTATTATATATCATAATTGTTTTCAGTCAGCCAGGTTGACAGGATCTGCGTGAATAAAACTTCCTCATTCTCTACTTTGAAATAGAGTATTTAAGGCTCAGGGAGTAAAGCAGCAAAAATGTTGCTAATAAAATCTAGAGGTTGGTATTGGTATTGGTAATTGGGGATGGGTACAACCCAGGTGAGCGGGGACCTCATAAGTGGGCCCATTGCTCTCCCCAAAAGATACTGGGCTTTAATCAAACCTTTTTGTCCCTCGGATGAAGGACACCAGGTTAGAAACCCTCAGGGGTCTCCAAGAATTCTTTCCCTTAGAC